CCCCCTCCCCCTGCTGCAGCCCCCGCCCCAGTCCCGTCCCGGGGGGCGGCCCCGGAGCGTGGGGGCGCGGGGAGGTGCAGAGGCGCGCGGATCCCGGCCTGGGGAGTGGGAGCGCTGCAGCGCTCGCGGGCTGCCCCGGGGGAGGGGCACGTGGCCCTGAAAGGGGGGGGATCCCCAAACACCTGGGTGTACCCCATCCCTCGCCCACCCAAACCCCGGCGTGGGGTCCGTTTACCCCCTTCATTGCCTCCATGGACTCGGGAGACTCTGCGAACTCTCGAGGTCCCAGACATCGACCCTTCCCCAGCATTACCTTGGGACCCCGGCATCTTAACCCCCCCCCCTCCAAAAAAATGCCCATCGTCTCTGCAGCCCGGAGAGGCATGAAGGACTTCAAGTCCCAGGAGGCCTTGCAGCGCCGGGTCTATGAAGCCAAAGCAGCGCGAGCGCGAACGCTGCCGGGAGTTGTAGTCTCTAAGCGCTCCACGGGAGCTGGGGCCCCGGAGGTGGGAGGGGGTGGCTGGACACCCCCAGGGTCGCCGGGGGTCGGACATTTGGCCTGGGTAGGGCAAGCTGTGAGGCTCAAACTGAGCTTTTTCTCCTGGCCACGGCCCTCAGATCCGACAGCCCCTCTCACTGCCCGGCGTGTGGGGACGGGTCCTCAAGCCCCTTGCCTGCCCTGCAACCCCCATGGGCTGCCGCCCGCCGCCGCGTCCGCTGCCACCCAGGACGAGGCAGGGATAAGCGCAGGTGAGTCTGACCCTGTCCGTGCCGGAGTCCTGGCGTTCTGCAACAACACCTGTCCACTCGCGAGCTCTGATTCGCTGGTTCCTAATTTCCCCTGCACACCCCCCCTTCCAACCTATCTCTGATGTCTGCCCCCAAACCATGTGCCCCTCATTCCTCCTCCCCACCCCTCTCTCCCGGCCGTCTCTCAGGTATGCCCCGTCTCTCCGTCCTTCCTGGAGCCTGTCTGCCTGCCTGTCCAGCTCTCCTCGCTCCAGCCTTTTGTCCGTCTGTGGTCTCTGGCTATTATCTGTCTGTCCTTTATTTCGGCATCGCACTCATCCCCCTCCACTGTTCCTGTCACAAAGATACCTCTGTCCACGCCCCTCCTCACTGCCCCTCTCTCCATCCACGCCTTTCATCCCCATGAATAACACACCAGACGATTCTTGATCACAGTCCATCCCAAGTCTCCATCCTGGCCCTTCCATCTGTCTGTTCATCTGTTCCTCTCTCCTGAGTCCCAGCTTGTCCTTCCTACCATCTCTGCCCCTCCTCTCTCCTTACCTCAACTGGGTCCCTGTCTCTACCCTGAACCTCCTTCCAGCCCCCAGGATGGAATAGACCGTCCATCTCTCTCGTCTCCGGCCCTTTCCTGTTCCTCTCTCTGCCTGCACCAATCTGGCCTCCTCCCACTCCCCAGATACTCCAAGCCCCTTCCTATCCTAAATCCCTGCTCATGCTGTTCCTGCTTCCTGCAATGCTTTTCCCTACCCCACCCCCATGGCCCAGAGCTGTCTCCATCTCTTCCTTTCAGGCCTCAAGTGAGCCCTGCCTGACAGCCTCCTGCCCAGCACACATTTCAGAGCACTTTTCACTGTTTGAGAGTATTTTGTTTGTTTATGTTGCCTGTTTCTTTGTTTACTGTTTGTCACCTCTCATTGGATCGTGACACCAGGATGTCAGAGAACGTGTGTGCTTCTTTCCCTGCTGTATCCGCAGCAGCCAGCAGGATCCCTGGCATGTGGTTGGCTCTGAATGTTGGTATTTGCTGAACGAATGAATGATGGTTGTCAACTGTCTGTCCGTCCTAAATTCTGTGCCCTTGTCTGTGCCTTGATCTCCTTGTCTACCCATGCCTACCTTTGTGCTCTTTGATCTCTGCCCCTTGAATGGACGTCCCAGTCTCTTCCCCCCTATCCACTCATGTCAGTCCCTGTTGTTGTTGTTATGTACCGTCGAGTTGGACCTGACTCATAGCGACCCCTCCTTGGGTTTCCGAGGCAGCATCACTACGGAAGTAGATTGCCCAACCTGCCTTCCGCATGTCAATCTCTAGTCCTTGTTTATTCAACCCCCCATGACTCCTATCCATCTGTCCCTAATTTCTGTTATCCCTCTTCCTCTGACCTCTGTCATCTTCATGCATCCCTAAACTCTGTCCCCTTGCCTGTCCTTCCTCTACCTCTCTCTTCCCACCCCTTATCTCTGCACCCCCCATCCCCTCGCCCCTCTCCCATTCCCCATTGCTACCCTCTTCTGGGCTCCCAAGCAC